GATGGGCAGTCTTATTCCTTAAATATATATAGCCCCAGAAACGGATAAAGCATTGTGTGAGACAGAGTCCACCCAAGGGCAGTGGATTGGGTTCGGCTTTTTGGTGCCTTCTTTTAACATAGTAAGATCATAAGCTATTATTGTTGTCATGGGTAGTTTTCTCAAAAAATAATAACTCTTTTCCATTATCAGCCAGGTACAATGAAAGAATGTTTTGTTGTTGTTGTTGTTGTTGTTGTTGTTGTTTTTTATCTGAGACAAATGTTAGGCAGTGATTTCTTCATCTGGTGTGCTAGAGTTTTGCTAATTCCAAATCTGTTCTTAGCAGGAGAGCATATGATTTCAAGTATTAACGAATTTTACATCAGGTTAAAAATGGCTACTCCGTAGAATGTTAATTAATTTGTTTCAAAGTTTGGCTAGTGCCTTATGCCAGTTTTGGGGTTTGGGTTTTTTTTCCCATTGCATTTAATTTCTCTTTCTTCCTATAACTTCCAGTGGCAGAATCCACATCGACAATGTTTTATACTGCAAACCCAAAAGCCCACTTCTCTGCCAGTTTGAATCTACCTCTGACTCTGTGGGGAAAAGATGAACAATCTCCTCTTATGTGATTTACAGCCTGAGAAATGCAACGCCTCCAATGCTCTGAGTCAGTGCTGACTGCTGATGAGGCAAGGAATTTGAGTTTTTAATTTGAACACATTGTATCAAATATAATTTTCTTTTCTAGAAACAGCAATAAGCTAGTTATACAGATAGTCAACAATGTTATTCATATTTAAAAAATAAAATTAGCTGCAGTATTCATTTGTAAAACAAATTTTGTGACCAAAGGATTTTCATTGCATACCAGTAAAAACTTGGCTTTAGAAGACTGCACCATGTTCACCTACAGTGTTGTGGTAGGTATTCAGTAAATTTATTGTGTCACATGAATAGCCCTGGAGTCACGATCATAAATTTACTTTTGAGCAGCTCTCACATTCATTTTTAGGTTACTCACAAAGGTAGTATATGAAACTTTTTGTCAATAGAAAATACATCTATGTTTTTCTAAACCAATATAATGGACTAATATTGTTAATTTCTAAAAAAGCTAGGACCATATTATATTTCTAATTTATCAAGCCTATCATCTGGTTTGGAGCCCTAGTGGTGTAGTTTTTAGGGAGTGGGTAGTTCAAACTCACCCAACTGTTTGGCCACACTGGCTGAAGGTATTATGAGCAATGCCAGATATTGCAGCTTTTGTTTAGAAAACCCAATGAGAGATAGCTGGGGAATGTCTTCCCCTTTGATTTACAGTCTTAGAAACTTAGTAAAGGGTCAACTATAAGTTGGTTCCCACTGGACAACAGTGAATGAGTGATTTTATTTTCCCAGTTTAATCTGGATGTGCAGTCTCTTCCCTGCAATTTATAGGCACAGAAAACCCACTGGAGTATAAGCTATGAGGCAATTCTTACTCAACAGCAATGCGTTGAATTTACACCTCAGAAATCCATTTCCTCCACAAAACAAACTTCTAAATTCATACTGATGTTACTGCTGGTAGCAATCTTTTATGTAAGGAAGCTCCAGTGGCTTAGTGAGTAAAAAGTTGTGACGCCAGCCCAAAGTCGTGCAGTTGGAATTCACGAGCTGCTCTACATGAGAAAGATGGGCAATTTCTTCTCGTAAGACTTACAGCTTCCCAAAACCAGAGGGACGGTCAGCTGAGTTGGCTCTTGATGGCATGTAACAGTAAGAGTCTTTTGTGTGCTTTTGCTTTGTCCTTTATAATTCTGTGTATGTTTTGCGATGGGAAAGTCTGCGGTTAGGGACCTCTCCAAAATACTCAAGGAAACAGTGTCTCTCTGGAGACTAAGGTCCGCCTGATACAGGCCATGGTTTTTGCAATCACTTGTTATGCATCAGAGAGTTGGACAATGACTAGGGAGGATAGAAGGAGAATTGACACCTTTGAGCTGTGGTGCTGAAGAAGAGTATTGAATGTACCATGGACTGCCAAGAAAACAAACAGATTCATCGTAGAGAGGATTAAACCAGGCTGCTCCTTGGAGGCAAGGATTCTGGGGCTTCGTCGGACATACTTTGGACATGTTGTAAGGAGAGACAGGTCTTTAGAGAGGGACATCATGCTGGGTAGAGTGGAGGGACAGCGCAGGAGGGGAAGGTGGATTGATTCAGTGACTAGGGTACTCGGGATGGGTGTGTCAGAGGCAATGAGATTGGCACAGGATAGAGCACGGTTTAGGGCTGTTGTACATGGGGTCACTATGAGTTGCAAATGACTCGATGGCACATAACAACAACAACAACATCATCCAACAGGGCAGGCTTCAGAGCTGCAGTACCTAGGGTTACTATGAGTTGCAGGTGACTCGACAGCACATAACAACAACATACATTGTTTATATGCTTTTTGTGAGGATAGAAGACACTAAAAACTTTTTGTAATTTAAAAAAGTCTATCTACACAAATTTTTATTTACACACCAATCTTCAGCCAGTAGACATTGTAATTTGCCTTTAAAAAATTTACCAATTTCATGGAAGTTCTATAAAACATAATAATTGTCAATCTTTAATAACAGAATAAAACTGCAGTGAACAGTTTCTAAAAAAAATTCTTTCTAATCTTAGACTTCTAACTCCTTGGTAACTTGAATTTTATACTCATTCTACATTATTTATTTATTTATGTTTTATTTGTTTATGTTTTAGATTTATTCAGCAGAAAATATGTAGACTTTTTAAAGCATCTTCTGTATGTGCAATAAGTTTTAACTGCTATTTAATTGTTTCAGATAGTCATTATCCCTGTTTGCATTTGGTCAGATATGACTATATATGTGAGACTTGTCCACTGGGCAATCAGTAAGATATTTGAAATCTTCGTCCGCCTTTACTACATCTGTGTTGCTATGCAAGGTCCTTGGCGTCCCCATTGCTTCATTTCCTTTATTTCTGAAGAGTCCAGACAATGTCAATTCTACTTACCTCAAAGAATAATTGGAAGGTAAAATGAGATAGTGGATGGAGGTTTTTCAAAGTTAAAAGTATCATATATAATACTGAGACAGATTAGTTTATCTTAAATCAGGGGTTTATTCAACATAGGGCTTTCTAAACAAAGCTATCCTCTCGGGTGTTGCCCACAGCACCTGCAGCCAGTGTGGCCAAGCAGGTCAGTTGCTTCAAAGAGCAGCATAAAATTGCGAGGAAAACAGGTGTTATAAGAATAAAGGTGAAAACACTAATCCAGAAAAACATCATGGGGGGGAAAGCCATAATTTCTTACATCACTTTCTTGAGCTAGTCGGATAATCTTTATCATTGTTGTATTGGTATATATTTTTTAAACTTTTTTAATTGGTTTTCTCTGATTTTACTAACAATAATTTACAAAAAACTCAATATTTCTGGACATCTTGAAAGAGAATATTTTTAGCTTTGTTGAGGGGGAATGACAGCCTTATAGATTAAAATAAAATTCTCATTAACTAAAAGCAAAATTATAATCCATTGAAAAAGTCAGCCCCTCTGAACGAATACACACACACACACACACACTCACACACACACACACGCACATTGTCTCCTTTGAAATAACATCTGTCTTAACCTTCATTTTCACAGATGGGCAGAATTGGCAGGAGGGGGCTGAGATTGCTTGCTGTTAGTGACAGTTGAATTTCCTCTGAACTAGGTTGAATTAAGCCGTGTTTGAGGGCCATTAGAGGGTTCCCCTTCCTTGAGTCTGCTGTTCAACACCTGGTTAAGCTCATATTGCCTTGGTAACAAACCCAGACCCTTTCTTAATGTTGAAAAGAGTGATTGGCACTTATTGATTTACAGTAGTTGGGGAAAATTACAGTTTTCTCACTGCACAGATGAGTTTCTCAATTTCCTTTTTTCTATTAAAGGGTTTCCATGAAGCACATATTATAATTTACTTTTTATAACATCTCCAACTATACATAGAGAATCTTTCCCCTCTAATCTTCCTTTTATATTCCTAATGGCCTCATTATTTATGTGACCAAAAGGTCAGCAGTTCAAATCCACCACCTGTTCCAAGGAGGTAAAAAAGCAGATCTCTTTCCTCAATATTTACAGCCTTGAAACCCAAATGAGAAATCACCATAAGTCAGAATTTAGTCAACAGCACTGAGATTGGTTTGGGTCTGTATTCTCAGGCCTCTTTGTGACCTACCCATTGGGAGAACCTTTGTATCTATAATAGAGTGTGGCTGCCAGAGCTTTGGCTCTATATGTCCCGTTGCTCTATAGATGTAGATCAAGCATTAATAGACAGGCATGATCGAGAGACATTAACCTGGTTTCTACACTAGGTTCCAGCTTCTACCTTGAGACTTCTATCTCCATCTCCAGGTTGCTTGGTCCAAGTAACTGATCTGTACCTTAATTTTTCCATCTTTAAATAATTTTAGATTTCAAAGTGGTGATAGCTTCAGAGGAGGAAGTGGAAGCCACTCTCAGTCCTAGTCTCCTTGACTGTTGCACACAAGGCTATTACGTGTGATGCTATTGCTCCTGACAACTCATTATGTTCAGCCCCCACTGAGCATCCCCCAGACAGACAGAGTGTGGAAGAAACCTACTCATCACACTCCAACATCAGAAATGACTGGTGGAAAGGCTTGGTGCCTGTTTGGGAGTGGGTCAGCTTGGCATGTGTGTCGCTGGCTGTCCCTGGCTCCCTCCTCTACTAGACTTTGATGACCACCCTTCTTCTGTCTGGCCTGGGGGTAACCCTGCCTGATCCTGACTCCCTAATAAAGCTTTCCTATTGAAAACAGGGGGGAAAAAATTCCACTTTCACTGTATCACAGGAATATTTACATCTTACCTATGTGAACTTTACTTAACAAAAATGTTATCTTGGTAACATTTTAGATTAATATAACACAGCTCTTTTGCTATTACTGCTCTGACAGCCAATGAGATTTCTTTTTCTCCCTTGCTTTTAGCTCCCTGAGTACTGTGTCTCATATGGATGAACCTAACCAGCGGGATGATGCCTCTCGCCTCACAGTTCAAGTGGAAAACACCTATCAGTTAGGTTTGTGACTTCATCACCTCACCCTCTTTTACATGTTTAATTAGGTGACTTAGGCTTATGTAAATAATATCTGGAAACCTGACATTATCTTCAACCTTAGCACAAAATAAAGCCAATTAACTAAACCAATTGCCATTGAGTCATCTGTGATGACTATACAGCTTCACTCTGTCAAGTTGCCAAGGCTGTGGTGTTTCCTCAACACATCTCCCAGGCTTTATTTAAGGGACTTCTGAGTCAATTCAAACTGCCAGCTACCAAGTAAAAAATGTATTCATGTAAATAAAGAAATACATTTTTTTAAAAAAATCAATCAATCAAACATTTATTCATTTATGCCACCCTAAGAATCCCGGGGGGGTGGGGGGCGGAAAGAGACCTTAGTTCATTAAGTGATTTGACACTGCTTTAATTTCTTCCCATTCACATTTCATTCAGTACCCATTGACTACTTCTCTTTATCAGTGATTTTTAAACATCAAGCAATTTACTGAGTGTGACTGATGTTCACTGGATATTTCTGAAGAGGCTCATTGGATATTTCTGGGTGACCTTGTGAAGTTAACTAATAGCCTGACACCTCTCTTTGTCTTAGGCTTGAATTTTAAAAAACAGACTGCTTATTGATGTTAATCCAGTAAAACCAAGCGATGCTGTTGGTAGATGGTGGGGAAGGAGGGAAACTTACAAGACAAATAATTCCTGGTCCCATGTTGACAGATGTTTATCCTTTATCATAGAGCTTTGGGGTGGGTTTTTTAAAAAAAAAAAACCACACACACATAAAAACCAAAGATCTGCGCACCTGCCCCTATACTCTGAGGTAGAATTTAAGACAAGTAGCTTTTCCCATTCATATGTCCTCATAGACCTACTTGTTTTCTCTAAATGCAGACCTGCCCACTATTATCTGCATTCATATCTAATTACTGCTACATAGACATTCCTCAGAGACTTACCAAAGACCAAAAGACGACCCTAAGGGGCAAGTTAGTTTCATCTGTGGCCAGTTAACCCACAGAAAATTATAGACCATCAACACACCCCATTAAACCTTGTAGCCAGTACCCTACAGTAATCCCCAAGATTGCATGGATTAGAGGGTGTCATAATTGGTCAATCTGCTGGTATTTTCCAAGTACCTTTAGTCAACAACAATTACTTCTGTTATCCAATATACTTAAACACTCTCTTTAACAATTTTACCCACTTTCCTTTGGGAAAGCCCTCACGGCCAACATCTTCATTCATTTTTATTGGATCTACACCATTCTGGTAAAGCGGAAACTGCCTTCAGAACCAATGGCTGATTCTTAGATGGCCATCTAATTAGCCAAAGGGTTTTTTATATTTGATTGATGGAATGTTGCTTGGGCTGAAACAGGCCTGAAAGAATTTTTGATTTGGCAACTTCTGTCTTCTTGCTCCAAGTTGGATCCAGAGACTGACACCAGCATAACAGAAAGCAGATCTGTAAAGAGAACCATCTAATTCTGACAATGTCCTTTCCGTCTGAAATAACCTCAAACTGCCTTTAAGCTTTTAAGTTGTGCAAGCCACATTTGGATCAGATTTTCACCCACGTGCAACTAAAATATCTTAACCATTTGGTGCCTGTGGCTTTGGCTGTGCATGCCAGAAGGGGATTGGTCATTTGACAATAATAATTTTATTGTTGTTCTTGTTAGGTGTTGTCAAGTTGAGTACAACCCATAGAGACCCCATGATCAACAAATATGAACCCTTTCTTCTCCTGTGCCATCCTCACAATTCCTGATACATCAGAGCCCATTGTGGCAGTAAATGTGTCAGTACACCTGGTTGAAGGTCTTCCTCACCTTTGCCATTCCTTCACCTTTCCAAGCATGATATCCTTCTCCAAGGAATAGAATTACCTAGCAACGTGCTTTAAGTATGTGAGGCAAAGCTTTATCATCTTTACCTCCAAAGAGCATTCTGGCTGCATTTTATCCAAGACATATTTGTTTTTTCTCTTGGAAGACCATGGGATATTCAGTACTCTTCTCCAACATCACAGCTCAATGGCATCAATTTCTCTTCTGTCATCCTTATTCATTGTCCAATTCTCAGATGCATAACAAGTAATTGGAAAGACCAATGGCCTGAATCAGACACACCTTAGTCCTCAAACAGACATCATTACTCCTTAATAATTTGGAGAAGTCCCTGACTGCAGACTTTCCCTATGCAATATGTCTCCTGATTTCCTGACTGTTGGTACCAAGGGTGTTGACTGTGGATCTAAGTAAAATGAAATTGATAACAGTTCAAATCTTTCCTCTATCTACATGATATTGCCTATCAGTCTAGTGGTAAGAATTTTTGTTGTTTTTTTTTTTATGTTGAAATGCAATCCACATTGAAATTGCATTCTTTGATCTTCTGCAACAAGTGCTTCAAGTCCACATCACTCAAGCAAGGTTGTGTCATATGCATAGCACAGGTTATCAATGTGTCTTCTTCCAATCTTGATGCCAAATTCTTTTTCATAGAGCCCATCTTCTTAAATAATTTGCTCAGCATACAGATTGAATAGGTATGGAAAGAGAGTACAACCCTGACACACTCCCTTCTCATGCAGTGTTCCCTTGCTCTATTCACACAACAGCCTCTTGGTCTAGGTATGGGTTTCAAATGAGCATAATTAAGTGTTCCAGGATACACATTTTTTCAATGTTATCCATAGTTTGTTATGATCCATAGAGTCAAATGCCTTTGCATAGTCAATAAAACGTAAGTAGACATTCTTCGGATATGCTTTACTTTTAGCTAGGATCCATCTCACATCAGCAATGATATCCCTCATGCCACAGCCTCTTCTAAATCTTGCTTGAACTTCTGACAGTTCTCTATGCACTATCCTAGCCATTTTTAAATGACCTTCAGCAGTATTTTTTTGCATGTTACTAACGATATTGTTCAATAGTTTCCACATTCTGGTGGATCACATTTCTTGGGAATGGGAACACATACAGACCTCTTCCAATCTGCTGGTCAGAGAGTTGTCCTCTCAATATCCTGGCATAAACTGTTGAGCGCATCCAGGGCTGCATCTATTATTTGAAACAAGTCCATTGATTTCTAGGGCCTTATTTTGGGGCTATTCCTCAAGTGCATCTTCCACTTCCTGCTTCATTACCAGTGCCTCCTGCTCGTAAAGTACTTCCTGAAATGTTTCAGTGTCTGTCAGTTATTTTTGGTACAATTGACTCTATGTATTCCCTCCATCTTCTTTTGATACTTCTTGGGTCTTTCAACATATTGCCCAAAGCATCTTTCAGTATTATGAATCAAGACTTAAATTTGTTTTTCAGTTCTCTCAGCTTGAGAAATGTAGAATGAGTTCTTCCCTTTTTAATCTCCAATTCCAGGTCTCTACATATTCCGTTATAATACTTTGTTTTGTCTTCTCTAGCTGTCCTTTGAAATCTTCTGTTCAGCTTTTACTTTGGCATGTTTTCCCTTTGTTTTGACTTTTTGGCATTCTAGTGCAATTTACAGAGTCTCTTCTGTCTTTGTAATGACCTTATCTTCTCTTTAGGTATGATATCCTTAATGTGATCCTATAACTCATTTGGTCTTCGATTATTGGTGCTCAATGCTTCAAACATTCTTAAGATGATTCAAACCTATTCTTTCTCTTTTAAAAAAACCTATTCGGAAGGTGATTTTTTTAAAATTTATTTTATTATTGTTTGCGCATATACCATCAAAGCAGATCTGACTGGTACAGGAGGAGATCACCCCCCCCTTCTCCAGCAGAGTATCTGGTGGATTCGAACCGTGTACCTCTGGGATTTCAGTGTAACTTCTTGCCACTAGGCCACCAGAGCTCCCTAAGGTGATTTTTTTTTTTTACAACAGCATAAAGCAGACTAAATGGGAAACCTATGTTTCTTCTTCCCTAGACCGTTTTCACCACCTGTTTTCTCTGATAAAATAAATTGCCCTGCCAGTTTTAGAAGTATTAAGTGTGAAGCTATAAAAAGAATTTTAGAAATTATTTACTATAGATATTTTCCCTATTCTCTTACAAAAGATTTATTATAATCATTCTTTCATAATTAGTCTTTTATGCCTAGACATTCATGTTAACTATTCTACTAATTATCTTGTTATGACTCAAATTAAAAATATATTTTCATTTCTACTTATTTCTGGGCTTATTTTTCATGTGAAGGCACTCTGTGGGCCTATGCTAAAGATTCCCCTTTATCTACATAACTCATAACTCAGAGTATAAAAGAAAAAAAAAACCTATTCAGTTACCAGCACTCTTGTCAGTTTTTTTTATATTCTATGCAACAATGTTTGCATTTTCTAAATATGTCTTATATATTGAACATATTAGTTATTTATTTTTGTGAGTAATTAATTATGTTGTTGATGTTGTGTACTATAAAGTCAGAAATGACTCATAGCTGACCCTAGAATAGGTTTTCAGAGACTGTAAATCGCATGGGAGGAGATTGCTCATCTCTCCCACAGAGAAGTTTGTGTATTTGAACTGTGTGCCTTTAGTTTTGGCAATGCAATGCATTACCCATTAGACCACAGCTCTGAATATTATAGAGATGATAAATGAGACACTGCTTAAATATAATTAATTAAAGAAAAAAGTGAATAGAAAATGGAAATTATATTTCTTTTACCAAAACACTATTTAAATGTTCTCACAAATTAATTACTGAAAAAAAACATGTAGAAGAAATATATACTGTGGTGTTTGATATATTTTAGTTTGAATGATAACTTGAGTTCTTATATAAATTGTATTTGAGCAAGGTAGTCAGCATTCTTTAATCTCAATTTGTTGGCTATAAATTAAAAGCGCATACATCAGAAAGGTGCTGTGACAGTTAAATGAAGTAATGTATTTATATTGATTCTTAATTCTTTATGCTGTTACTGCTTAAAGCAATTAAGTATAAGACTGTACCTTCGATCTAATAATAGAAACCCCCCATGATATTTAATGC